CTGGTGGGTTGAACGGGAACGGGGGAGAAAACAGGAGCCCCCCAAATTTACCGCGAAGGCTGGACTCGAACCGCTGAAGCGTCGACCATTTCTGGCCGGCAACTTTCAGCGTCATTAAGCCGCTGCACCACCGCGTCCCCCTTTTCATAGTCCTAGCTAATGTTAAAAAGAATTGCTCTGAATCAAGAAAATATTTTGGTTTTGTTACCTGTCTTCCCCAAATATTTAAATAAATAATATGCTAGACCATATAGCTTATGAGAATCACAATACCTGGTACCATAATGATAAGCATCCTGACCACCATGAGGAACATAAAGGGTTATGGACACATCGGACTTACATGCTTAGTAGGAAGTAAGCTTGGTTTCATCTTCAAGAGTTCTGCTCAATGGATGACCAAAAGGCATTTTAAAGATGCATGAAATTTAACCACAACTTATCCATGTTTAGGTTTTTGCTGCTTTTTGTTGACGTCTTCAAATATTTTTTCCTGGCTGGGTATCTCTTGACTTTGTTAAATTCAGTGAATGCCTGAACTAAGGAAGCCAAGGTGTATCAGATTTGTCCCAGTATTTATATATGCCTATGTGTGTTTGAATAGAGTCTACTCAATAAGACTTTGGTTTGTCTGTGATGTATGTATTTTTTTGCTAGATATCAGTATCAGCAACTCCATTCTTAATACTCCAAATTCATCTTCACCTGCATGGTTCTTGACAGCTTAGTCAGTGGCTGGGGTAACCAGGGATGAAGGGACTTATGGCACATTATATCTGAACAGCATCTGGCTATTTATAACTGTCTTCCAGAGTGGTGTGAGTGATCTCCCTCATGTTCCAGCCCTGTGTCTGGCAACTCGTAGCTGGATTTTGCTAGACATTCTCTTTGAAATACATGCTCTCTGTTAGGAGGAAATCTGAATTTCAGAGATGAGGATTCTTGTATAACACTCCACCATTTTTCCTAATAGGAGAAAGAAAGGCCCTTATGCCCAGAACAAGCAATGTCCTCCATCCCAGAAAATTATAAACAAAATGTAAATGCACAGATCTCATTTTGGGAGTATGCTGACCCAATTTTCTTATCTTCACCTATTTAAAAAACATGTTCATTGATAACAAATATTTTAAAGGTTGATCCTCTTACAATTTGAGGGAGAAAAACAATATTGTACTGCATGACTATCTGACTAAATATGAAATAAGGAATCATTAGGTAGACAGTTTAACTGGAAAACTAGGACCTAGAGCTGAAACAGGCTTTGAGCTCTCATATGGAATAGCTTGAAGACCCCTTTTTCCTTGTTTGCCTCGGATAAGCTGGATGGGGAGTGGCTCACCCTGACTTGTTCCTGATTCTGGAATATTATTTAGGGAATGTGGAAGCCTCCTTCCTCCCCCTTCCCACCATGTTCTTGGGAAATGCTTAGGTCTTAACCACTGGCCAAACCACTCTTTAGCCTTTCCTCTCTCAGGCAGTCATGTAATGGTCCAGAATTTCTGCAATCATGGATCACTAAATAAACATTCAGAAAATGCAGGAACCACCCAATTAAAGAAACATGTTCCCTTTTTTGTCTTTAAGAGCATGGGAATTCACATATTCCAGCAAATATAGCTGCAGTTGTATAGATCTTCTCATCCCCTCCATTTTAAAAGGCCTCTAAAATTATTTATTTGAATTATTTTATGTATCCCATTTTTCAAAGAGGAAAAAATCCAAGTGGCTTTTAGGGCAATTACCATGATAGCAACAAAAGCAGAGGATTTAAGTTCTGAACAACAGAAACAATGCTAATAACTGAACACAGACTTTTATCATTAATTAAAGGCAAGGAAAGATATTTCATTCAGGAATGTTAACAAACAGGAAAACAACGAGAAAAGGAAAACAAAAGATACTTTTAAGAGGATCAGAGAAATCACTGGAAAATTTACAGCTAAGCTATGAAAGCTCAAGAATTATTATTAAATTAACAGAAGATGGAAAGACTGAACCCGAACACTTTACAAGTGGTGAGAGAAACTTTTGTAAATAACACATTCAGGAACGGAATCTATTAGAAATTGAGGTATCAGAGCCAATAGTCCAACTGTTGAATAAAAAGGCACTAAACAAAGGAGTCAGTCTTAATTCCTTCCTGCAATATTTTGAAGATGCATAATCATCACTATGATTGTGTTTTGTTCAAGGAAATATTTCCAAGTTTTAAATTTTGTGCAATATTGGAGAAGGTATTTCTTTAAAGGATTTTCCTACCAGGACGCACCCAGAGTAAGCTGACACTCTATATCTGTAGTCTCTTTTGGCCCCCAAGGAAATAAAAATTAAAAATAGCTTTAAAGTTTGACCTCCAACTAGTTCCACAATTAGACACAACCCTATTTGGAAACAAGGAAGCATTCCAGATTGGAGAAAAATGCTGTAGGATTTTGGTCCTTATAGAGTAGGAGGAAAGGGGGGAAATGGTATTCAGGAGATGCAAACATGTAGGCATGATATTAAGGACAGCTTAGACAGCAGTGATTAAAAAAGACTTAGTTACTATTGAAAAAAGGACTCTCCTAATAGAACTGTAAGCCTTACAAAGCTGATGGCCAGCTCCATTTCAACTGGGTACACTCTGCACGACATTTCAGATGACCTCTTCTACTGACTGAAACCAGAAGACTAAATTGGAAATTCCAGTTTTTCATCTCAGAAGAATCTCACAAATGTTTTTGTATTTTACCTTATTTGGAACTTAATGTTTAAGCAATTTACTGCTTTAAGTGGCATCCAGCAAAAAGGAAACATATCTGATTTATTAATAATCTGAAAAAATTCAAGATACAAAAATTTATGGCAGTCAAAACATTAAGTGCATGAGAGAAAAGTCAGGAAACAAGCTGGGAGACCCATCACTGGACTTCTAGTTTTGTTTCATGACTGATGAAAATGGCAGTCAGTCACCCAAGCAGACTCCCGAGGGTTGCATGGCAACCAACACTGTTCAAATATGCAAGAGAGTTCATTATGAAGGAAGCGCCAGGAAGAGGGAGATGAGCCCCAACCCACTCCTTCCCCAGTCTACAAGACAGTATCAACGTTCCTCAAGTCACTATTTGTCTCACGCTATGGGAAAGGAAAGGAAGGGAAGCATATGCAAACAGCTCTTTGAAAACAATGTGGAAATGTTGAGGAGCAGCAAGATAATCGAAACACAAATGAACTCTTCTCTTCCCTGTATTTCTTTTTCCTATTTAGAGCTCTTCTTCATCCAAGATATCTGAAGGGGGCCAGGTGGGGAAAGGCTGCTCTAGGGAAGCTCTGCCCAAGAAATGAAAGCTTTGTGCTGCAGCTCTCATTAACACGCAGCACTTATTGATTTATTTTATGAAGAATGGACATACTCCCCAAACAAAGGTACCTGGGGGTTATATCACTATGCACAAAATATTTATAGATGCAACAGCACAGAGTTTACTACCATAACAGAAACAGATACCTGAATAGCTGTCAAGCAGGTTTATATACTTATTTAGGCATTTCCAACACCTTTCCAAACAAGAAACAAAAAAACCCACCACCCTTCCACAGTAGGTGTCTTGAACCAGCTAGTTTCTGAACACCCTTATGCGAATAAAATGACATTTCATTATAAATTAATGTTCTCAAGCAACCAGGGTTTAGCCAGACACTCTTTTCAGTTGGCTGTGTCCTATCAAATTCAAGTTTCTGCTGGAGTTTGTCAGACTGTACTTATTATATCCCAGAAATTAAAATGCAAAGCATGCATATGTGTGGCCCAGGCCCTGGAACTGGAAATAAATATCGTATGAGTCTATGCCAAGAATCATCATAGCAAGACCCGCACTTCACAAGTTCCAGCACAAACTGACTACGTTCTGACAGGGATGGTTTCTCTTTGCAGAAATCAAAAAGACTCTGCCTCATAGCAGACCTAAGGCCAGAAG